TTCATTTAAGAAGGCATTCTTAAATGAACAGTGCAAAGAAATAGAAGCAAACAATAGAATAGGGAGAACCAGAGATCTCCTCAAGAAAATTGGAGATATGAAGGGAACGTTTCATGCAAAGATAGGCATGATAAAGGACCAAAATGGCAGGGACCTAACAGAGGCCGAAGAGATTAAGAAGAGGTGGCAAGATTACACAGAGGAACTATACAAGAAAGAGCTTAACATCCCTGATAACCACAATGGGGTGATCACTGACCTCAAGCCAGATATCCTGGAATGTGAAGTCAAATGGGCCTTAGGAAGTCTGAGCAACATCAAAGCTAGTGGAGGTGACAGCATTCCAGCTGAGCTATTCAAAATCTTAAAAGATGATGCAGTAAAAGTGCTACACTCAATATGCCAGCAAATTTGGAAAACTCAACAGTAGCCACAGGATTGGAAAAGGTCAGTTTACATTCTGATTCCAAAGAAGGGCAATGCCAAGGAATGTTCAAACTACAGCACCATTGCACTCATTTCACATGCTAGCAAAGTGATGCTCAAAATCCTACAAGCTAGGCTCCAGCAGTATGTGGACCGAGAACTACCAGAAGTACAGGCAGGATTTCGAAGAGGAACTAGAGATCAAATTGCCAACATACGCTGGATCATGGAGAAAGCTAGGGAGTTCCAGAAAAACATCTACTTCTGCTTCATTGACTATGCTAAAGGCTTTGATTGTGTGGATCACAACAAAAAGCAGAGACATCACCCTGCCAACAAAGGTGCGTATAGTCAAGGCTATGGTTTTCCCAGTTGCAATGTATGGCTGTGAAAGCTGGACCATAAGGAAGGCTGAGCGCTGAAGAACTGAGGACTTTGAATCGTGGTGCTAGAGGAGACTCCTGCAAGTCCCTTGGACCACAAGGTGATCAAACCGGTCAGTCCTAGAGGATATCAACCCTGACTGCTCTTTGGAAGGCCAGATACTGAAAATGAAACTCAAATACTTTGGACACCTAATGAGAAGGAAGGACTCCCTGGAGAAGAGCCCAATGCTGGGAACAATAGATGGCAAAAGAAGAAGAAGGGGACGTCAGAGAATAAGGTGGCTAGATGAAGTCACTGAAGCAGTTGGTGTGAGCTTGAGTGGACTCCGGGGGAGGGTGGAGGACAGGAAGGCCTGGAGGAATGTTGTCCATGGGGTCACAATGGGTCGGACATGACTTCGCGACTAACGACAACAAACAGCTGTTCCATCTTTGTTTTTTGTTTTTTTTTTAATGGATTGTCTGCGACAAGAAGAACAACTGAATATGCATCGGAAGATGAGTGGAAGCCATCTGGAAGTCTCCATAAAATTCCACACGTGGGATAGGGTGACAGTGTATAAAAATGTTGTCTGGAAACACCCAGTAAGTGAACTTCAGGTTCCTGTCACTCATTTGGAAATAGATTCTGCTGGAATTAGTATATTTACCTCTAAGTAAATGTATTCAGGAACAATCCATTTCAACTGATAGTATGAGATGATAAATAGAAACTCACAAAGAACTCTTTCCACCTCACTTTTCCCCACAACAATCTGGGCCCCAAAGAATTTCCCATGAAGCTCTCCTTTTAGACCAAGTGAGCTGAGTGCCTAATCATGGAAACTTTACTTAAATTGGCTGCATATGCTCTGTGTCATTATAAAGAAGCAATACTTACATTCATAATGGTGTTTGTGATTTCATCCTAAGACAGAAAAAAGTTACATGTTTAGCTCTACTGGTATAAACGTTTCCTTCTACCTTTTCAAGCTAAGCTTGACTTCATAAATTCTGTTTATATACCTTAATGATCAAAGAAAGTATCAATATCCATCAGCACTTGGTAAGATGTGTGTATGGGAGGGAGGCATCTGACTTCCTTTTGGGAAGAATTTGCTATCATTGCATCACATTATAAACAAGACTAGGTTTGGACATTTTGCTAGGAGAGCTCTTAGGCCCTGAGCTAATCAGCACCTTTCACAGCAAAGTTCTTGCAGCTTTGTGGGGAGCAAACCATACAAAAGTAGTGGGAGATGGATTTGTAAATTGTGATTTATAAGGGAATAAAAGTGTGTGTGTGGGGGGGGGGGGGGGGGGTTGGATTTTTTAAAAATCCAAAATACATAATACCTAATACAAAGACTCTAAAAAGAGATATATCTATCTATATCTATAACAATATACCAAAGATAATATCAAAATAGCAAACAATATCAAATGTGAAATATCATCAGTATCAACATAAACAATATAATAATGTCAAAAATGTTAATACAACAATATATCAAAATAATATAAAATTAAACAATCTCAAATATCGACACCATCAAAGTAAAACAATATAAGAATATAAAAAACAATGAACTAAACATTATTAATCCACAATAACCCTTGCGGGAGGGGGGGAACCAATGCCTAACCTGACTCCAAGCATATGGAGTCCATATAATTGTGAACCTTTCTGTCATAAATGAATAAATAAATAAATAACCCTTTCAAATCCTTTGTTAAAGAATGGAGGTTTGCAGACAGAACTCAGCTGACAGACTGCAGTTACCCCTCAAATGGGATAGGTTTGCAAGTCCCTGAGTTGTTGCATCTTGAGGATGCTTGTGAAAGTGAAGCAACCTGGAGATACCCGAGTTCACCCCAAAGACCTGAAGATATTGTTGCAAAAGAGGTGTTTGAACCTCTCCTCCAAGCAAGAATAACTTGTGGCTTTGGAACCATTTGGCAGTTTGCCTTGTGACAGTTTTCAAATGCCTCCAGAGGAGGAATTAGTTTACCCATGAGTTAGGGAAGGAGAACCTCTAGATAGGCTGGGTATCTACTGGAATTGGCCAGCAGGTAGCCTCCTGCCATCACCCACCTGAGTTTCCCTATTGTCACCTGCCACCTGTAACTGTGCCTGTCTCCGTAATAACACTTTCCTGCAAATACTTGCAAAAATTAGGAGAACAAGGAAGAAGAAGAAGAAACAGTAACCCTGGATAATGACAGGGAAAAGTGGAAAAGTGAGGGGTTCCTGAGGACTACCAAACCCTCAAAAGTTGTGGCAGTGGGAGCTGCGGGTTATTTGTGCATCTGCTTGGTTATTTATCTTTCAGGCTCATCTCCCTTTTCTTACATTCCTTCTCCTCTTACGTTCTGCTCTCCTCTCCCTTCTTTGACTGCCTTGTCCTTCCTCCATCTCAGTGATGACTCCATAGATTTTCATAGGTCACACACTCAATAAGGGCTGGTGTGGGAAGACAAGGCAACCTTTCTCCAAGGCACTATGTGTTAGGAGTGAGAAAGACAGCTGTTTTTGTGCTTGTTCTCAAGCACTGCTGCCTGGAATTCACAGGAATAAGAATCAGAATGTGAAGCAGAACTGGGGGAAGCCATGGAATGTGGGCCAAGCTGACAGAGAGATGAGAGAAACAGAGATGCTTATGTCAGAGCTAGACTCCCCAGGTGGGCAGGCAGTCTGTAGGAACAACCAAGATGTACAGTTGGTGGGAGAGGACTTGGAACAGGGGAGTTTCTCAGACATAGCTCTTGCCTCCAACATACTCACCAGTAGAGGGGAAAACTTGATTAGAGGATCGACATGTGGGAAGGAGGCATTTCGGAAAGCTCCTTCCAGAGGGATGGGGGCCAGGCATACTCATAAGGAGAGTTTCTGGAGGTGAATACTAGATCGGGTTCAATAACCATTCTGCATTCTCAGAGTTTCATTCTCGATGCTTTGTGCTTTTTGGTCAATAAAAGATGATTTGTGAAGTCTGTGGCATTTCAATGCATGGAAGACGGACCCCAGCAAAAACAGTGTGGGGCAATAGGGTTCTTGTTGGGGAGTGCTTCCCCCCTTACCAAGTGTTGGAGTGGAACCCCTTCCTTTTTCCCAGGGGAAATCAGTGGGAGCAGAATATTATTAAAAGATTTATATATGTGAAATTTGGCAAAAAAAAAAAAACCCCACATTTATTTTTTCTTTTTTGTCTTTATTTTGCTATGAATTCCATTGTCCACAGAAGAAACAAGGACAAGGACACTTGTAGCACCTTAACTAGTGACACTAGTGAGTATCAGGTTTCATGAATGTCAATCCACTTCATGCAGACTCCCATCCATGAAACCTCAGGGTAGAACCAAGTTGCAAGTTTTTAAAGTATCACAGAATGTCTTCTTTTCCTACATGAGGGTAAGCAGAAGCATGTACAGCGAAGAAAAATAGTTTGTTTCTTACCTTAATTTTGGTACTTATAGTGGTTCTCAGTGACATTATGGCTAGAAGAAGGCTTATCACATAGTTTGGAAGACAGGAATTAGCACTAAATCTAAATTCCACATATATTTGAATTGCTTCTTTGGGACATGCATGTCTATATCAAACATCACATGAGGGCTGTTCAAAGTAAGCCTAGGTTGTCCCTTACCTTTATTTGGTAGTTGTAGCATGCGTAAGAAACGTTACGGATATTCGGAGGGGGTTTCCATTGTACTGTACAGAACAAAGCCTGTTCAGGGCAATTCACCGTAATATCATGTGGTGGATCAAGACGCTCTGAAATGAAATTAGCCATATTGTACCTGAATGGGGAGACCTTTTTACAGACACTTGAGTCTTGTGCCTCCCTTCTCACATGCTCCACATGCACTGGGGAATCATGTACATGGTCAGCCATGTGGGGTCAGGCTCACAGCCAGAAAGGTTGTGATGAGGGCTCCTGAGGATGGTCAGGGTGTGAAGAGTGAACACAGGGAGGCCAATCTGGTGGAGAGTAATTTGAATGAATTGATTGTCTAGGTTGCCTACTCAGTAAGCAAGGAGGTGAGGGGCTTCTGTGCATTTCCCCCGATTGCTCCACAAGCAAAGCACAAAAGACTACTTTAGCAGAGTGAGAGATGAATATTCAAAAATGGGACTTCGAATAGCTGCACCATGGCTGCTGCACTGGGGAATGGCTTCTATTACCTTTAGAACATCCAGCTCTAGACTCTGGATGGTCCTTGGGCAAGACATCCTCAGTGCCCTCTGCCCCAGTTAGTCTACTTGCTACTAGCACTGCCACCAATTGCTCTTGTCCTGCATCATCTTTCCCAGCTTGCTGCCGATCATTTGCTCGATAGGCAGAAAGCCAGTGAGTAAGCATGCAATGCATCACTTGCTCTTCCTTCCCACAACCAGAGCAATGGGCAGGTCTGGCCATGGTGAAGAAAACCACTCCAGGGACTCTTGGCAATGGGAACTTGGTGGAGTTGGGCCCATAGTAGGTGTCTAGTCATGCCTACTCTTGATGTCAGTCAGCAGCAGCATCCTATTGATACATACTGATTGACTTAACAAACAACCTCCCAAACCTAATCTCCATCTCTTCATTCTTACCATAATTATATAAGAAAGCATCATAAGTAAAAGGTTGAACTGATGAACTCTCACTTGACCCATTCACTCTGAAGCGAAATGTATATGTATCGATAGTCACATTTGGAAAATAGCATCCAACTTGTATTCCATGTTCATTTTTTAAGTAGTGTGGACAGGTTCTTTCTTCTCCTCTGTATAAGTCAAACTATGTCATTTAAAAAGCAACCACTAGTATTTTGAAATTATCATCATCATATTTATCATTATTATTAATTTTAGTAAATGAAAATGAATTACTTTGGTAAAGTCCATGATCCAAAGTACTGAAAATATAGAAAATACTGAGTATCTGGTGGAGCCTTTTTACCAACCATCCAAGTACAATTCATAGAAGGATCCTTAAAAGTGTAGGAGTGAAGGACACAGGAGAAATTTTCAGCTCCTGTTCCATCATTTCCTGTAAAGAAAGAAAAATGGCAAATATGATCTTTTATAGCATTTATATAATGCAAGGAGGAACTAGAGAAATTCATCAAGTGTAAGGAGATTTCCCTGGAAACCAAGGCCAAGATCATCCACAGTATTTTATTGTGGATCTCTATGTAAGGGTGGAAAAGTTGTACCATGAAGAAAGCTGATAATAAGAAAATGGATACATTTGAAACGTGGTGCTAGAGGAGAGCTTTGCTCTCAGGACCTACAGAAAGGACCAACAGAAAGACAAACATGTGGGTCCTAGATCAAATCAAGCCAATCTCCTTGCAAGAAAAAAATGATGAAACTGAAGCTGTCATACTTCAGGCACATCCTTAGAAAGCAAGACTCAGTGGAGAAGACAGTAATGCTAGAGCAAGTCAAAGGCAGAAGAAGAAAAGTAAGACCAATGATGACATGGATTGACTCCATAAAGGAACATAGCCTTGAGTTCGCAAGAGCTGTGCAGGACTTTTTGGAGGACATTTATTCATAGGGTCACCATAAGAAATAACTTGAAACACATGTCCAGTTTCTTTCTGAATGTCTCCAGTGTGGGAGAGCCCACCACCTCTCTAGGCAGCTGTTTCCACTGTTGTATTGCTCTGACAGTGAAGAAGCTTTTCCTGCTATTGAGTCTGAATCTGGGTTGTTGAAAATTAACTTGACACTTGTAACCACTTAAGTCTGAAAGGACATTGCCAGCAAAAGGAGTGAACATTGATGGAAATAGGGTGGAGGAAGAAGCAGGGTTTAGCTGGATCAGAGCACAGTACTATATTAGCATTTCGTTAAACCTGCAAAAGAGACAGCATGCATTGAAATGCTCCCAGCAGAAGCAGTAGAGGAGCAGGGGTCCTTCTGCTTCCTCTGCTATGGTCATGATTAAAGCTAAGCTTTTGATTCTGCAGTCACGGCACACAAACAGGAATGTGTAGCCTCCAGCTGTGGAATAAACCATACTATGTATCAAGATATGCCACACAAAGCTATATTACTCTGTCCCCATATGTTAGAAAACTTAATGCCCAGCTGGTTGTAAAGTGGCTTAAAAATCATGATAAAGAAATCAAATAAATAAAAATTGGTATATGGCAGGCTGTGAATTTCTTGTTTTTCCTTAATCATGTGTGGAGATAGGGGCAGACAAGAATATTACCTGGAATGCAAGGGGAGGGGAGGG